CAGGTGGGACGTGGTACGCTGAAGTTCTGAACGCCGCAGAGGCATCCAGCCTGCCGCTGCCGGCTGGTAGCCGCCCGACCAGCGATCGATACAGAGTTTTTGCGTAAAGGTCACGAACTTTACCTACAGCGCGTGCACATGCTATGCCTGGCAGTCTGACGTCATGCTTTGAATTTACGCCAGTGGCCGTTAGACTTTTGTGGCGCCACGTGTTAAATCTGTTGGCGTTCAAAGTATAGTCAATCTCTTTAAAAGATCTATCTTGGTTAATTTTTACTCAACCGTGTTGATTCAAAACATACTGCTGACGTTTCGCCTCCTATCAGGAGGCTTTCTCAAAGCTGACTGAAGTTATCAGTTTAATTAATGATGATCTTAATTAATGAGATGAATGTTAAATATATGTGCAATTTACAATTAGCAACAGAGTATCATGCCACCTAGCGACCCGGTATATGATTACACTGATGCATCTCCAGTGGAGCTACGTCGGGCCGTAGGCAGAGCCAAATTAAAGCACGTGCAACCACCTGATCACATACGCACAGGTATTGATATGATATGGCTTTCCTAATCTCAATTGTTTCTCTTGCTGGGAATTGGTACCGGGTAACAATGATTTTAATTTTGCGATCAGAGTTTCTTCTATATGTACTGTAAAGAAATATTGCAAAACAGTAGTGTACTGGCTACATAAATAAGCAGTGTCTTTATGAGACAGCTTCAGTCCACAATTGACTTATCTGAAGTACTTACAATATTGTGTTAAACCAAGCTTTATAGCCCTACATAGAGAATCAGCCGACCAAGCTAAATCCCGAACAAAAATGGCCAATAGCAAAAACACAAGAGCCTCACGTAGTTTAAGGTCAGAGGGCATACGGTAATAACATACAGGGTAATACCAGGCTAGCTGTAACAGCACAACAGGAACATTTTCACAACGGCGATGTTAAATTTGACAACGGTGGTGCGCCACTGCATGTGCCTCCTATGTATAAGATAAGAAACCCTGGCGATTTTTAACCTCAATAGTATAACAGTTTAGGTAATATTACGAAAATTACGCTTAAATTCGAATTCTATAGCAGCGAGTAAGTTACTGATTCTTTGATGATTGTTTGCTACAGCCATGACACCAGAGAAACGGATCTCCCCAGCAGATGTAGCAGACATCCCTTCTTCATACATTGACTCTAGTAGCAGCGAGTCAAGTCCCAGTCCAGTTTCATGGTTCAACGTGGATGCTTCTAATACGATGTCTGCTGTAAGTACTCTCAGCTTCTTTTTCTTCTTCTTTTCGAGTCACTACACGTACACTACACTACACTCGACCTAGCCACTGCAGCACAGAGGACCTGGCACGGTGGTTGAAAATCTCAAGGTCTCCAGGTCTACAGGACTCTGTATGTCTATGAGGTGTAGTGTGGTGTGGTAGAAGGATTCACAAGTGGGATACCTGACAAGGGCCGCAGCATGAACGCTCCTAGGTCGAGTATAGTCACCCGAGAAGAAGGTGTGGTTTTCTTATCAGCTAAAACATTGTGTTGATTGTTTTAGTAGTGATATCTTTTTTATTAAACAGTTGTTAATCTGGGAGTAGCTGAGGCATCGAGAGCAGGAAGTGGAGAGAAATTCTCGTATCAGATGATAGTGTCATGCAGCTTCGGTACATTTTTAGCTCACCTTGACATCGTCAATATGAGCTATTGCCATGGGTCGTCGTACGTCCGTCCATCCGTCCGTCCGTCCGTCCGTCCGTTGGTCCTTTAGTCAACATTTGGCTACGGTCAACGATAACTCAGGAACCGTTTGACCCACATGTTTGAAATTGGGTATAGTTGTTACTGCTATGCTCCCATATTCAAGGCTCGACACTAGCGGTGGCCCGGTGGCCCGGGGCCACCAAAACTTGATGTCGGGCCACCAAAATTTCCAAAAGTTAAAATTTGGTGGCCCGAATGGGCCACTAAAATTTCAAAGTGTCTATGTGATAAAAATAATTGTTTCTTACGGGCTAATTTCATTCAAAAGAGAGCGAGCAATTCGCGGAGCGAGGGCACACGTACACACGTGCAGCATTCTACCGTGGGCATACACGGGCACACGGTTTATCCGTCTACTGCGGCTGCAACAAGCCACGTTATTGTGTTAGACTGGTATCCGGCCTCACGCTCTGCTAGACAATGTACACGCTCTGCGACGAACAGTTCGGCCGCGAACCAGTCTAGCCAGAGGTCAAAACCTGAGCGGGCGCAGGCCATAGCATATTTTGCAAGCGCCAGCATACATGTAATTACATTGTATCAAGCGAACCAGACAATGCGGTTCTGGTGAAAATTTGATGCCGTGGAATGGATAATACAAATGTATGCCTCAATCATCAATGTCAGTGTGTGGGGTTTGTTTAAAGACTTGTGCAAGTGCATCAGACGGCCCAATTTTCAAATAATATACAATACGAGATTGAAATAAAGATTTATAATGTTTTTTGTTGTTGTTTTTTTCGGGCCACCAGATTTCATTTTCGGGCCACCAAAAATTGAAAATCAATGATTTTGGTGGCCCGATCGGGCCACTGAAAAAAAAAGTTAGTGTCGAGCCTTGCCATATTGAACGTCTTATTTTGGAGCACGCCAGTCGACGGACTTTCGAGCCACGGCAATTTTTTGGCAAAAATGGGAATTGCCATTAGTCAGTTCAGGTTCAACGGATTTTGCTCATTTTTGGTATGTGAATGAATAAGGGCCAGCGGTTTTGATATTTAAATTTTTTTAATGCAAATTAGGTAGGTTTTGGCAATTATATAGCATATTATGTTATAGACACGCAGATAACAGTCTGTGGTTATACACTCGTCTGGTTTGTTTTACAAGATTTCATTGACAATATCTTTAATGCAAAATTGGTATTTCCTCTCCACCCTGCCGATAAAACGTCTATATTAGAGTAAAGTTTTACAAAACATGTCGGAACGCAGCATAACCTATTTATTTCGAACGCCATCGCTAAGAAACATCAAAGCGGGTATAGCGCCATCTACCGTCACAAATTGTGATTCATTTTGGTTTATAAATTATTATTGCGATATACAGATGGCAACCGTGTGCTACCGCTTAGAAAAAACTCATACGAAGTAAACACTTCCATGCAACTAATTAACCTTTGACAAAAGTTGTGTTATGGGCAGGAAAACACCATTGTCACGTGGTATATAGCAGCTACGTGGAATAAGCGTATCCTCTCAATCTTACACGAGACACATCGGGAGCTCCGCTTTTAGGCAGTGCCTAAATCTGAATATTATAAAAACGTTAAATGGCGATCATTTAGGTGTAACAGACGCCATCACTCGCCCACATCTCAGACTTTCACATCTCAAACATTTATTTTCACATAAAAAATTACACATGATTATCAAGAGTATATAATGGAAGTTCTCCCATATATACTCTTCGTTTCTATAATGTACGTCGATGGTTGCTCAATTAAAACTGACTTCTTCTCACTCACTCATTTGTGTCCTTTTTTGTGGTGAGCTACAGTGTCATTGGCACTTTCATTACATTCTCAATGAGGTGTAGTATAGTGTGGTAGAAGGATCCGCAGGTGGGAAACCTGACAGGGGCTGTGGCGTGAACGCTCCTTATGTGGAGTAATTCTCAGCAAGCATGCGCTCCTTTATGATTGTCTATAATCTACACTGGGTAATGTACGTGTGCATGTGCAAATATATAGCTCCCACAGCTTTAGAAAGAAACTTCAACTATATATGCTGTGCGTAAACTGTTCCTGTTGTAACCTTAGCCAAATGATATAGAGCCATTAATATAATATCAGGAGTGAATAATAATAAATTATTATCATTATTTATAGATTAATAATAAATTATGATCATTATTTATAGATTAATAATCTATTATTATTCACTCTTGATAATATCATAGACACGATCATACTCTATCATGGATGCCATTCTTCACATACAGGCCAACGTCATGCACAGAAATCGCATGCAGAAGGAGAGCGCGGACGCAATAGCAAAACGGCGGATCCGAGCTACGACGCCTGTTGATTTTGCTTTGCCGGTGCGAGACAAGCAGGATCTCTTGCAGAATGACGCCGTTGTAGTGCTAGATGAGCGAACAGCCTTGTGATGGATGTTCCGCCAGCTGCCAATCACCAGTACCCTATCGGTCTATAGATCTATTATTGATTCATTCTGATTGATATTACCAGGGGTAGACGATGACAAACAATTTGACGATGATGACAACGATTTGTCATCATCTACCCCTGATAATTCTTAGTGAATCTATCTTTGATTCTTATTGTTATTATCTATCTAAGAATCTTAGTGATCTGAACCTAATCAATCTATCTATCTATTTTTAATAATTACTAACGATTTTATGGGACAGGTTTTCTTGTCTGAGTAGATGTCACCTGGGACATTGAACATTTAGTGGTCATGCATGATCATGTGACATTAAGTAATTTATTCAATTGGAATAGGATGACATTTAATTTATGTATAGTCATCTTATTCTCGTGTTTCGTATTTCTCGTGTTTTTACCAACCGTTTTCATATTTCTTCAACCGTTCTGATACTTACCGCTACTCCTTGCATAACACCAAATGTATATAGTAAGGCTTATACATGTCATAGAGCACTCGCACAACATTCTTTCCACCAATATGTGCACCGATGTGTATTTTAAATTAGATTGTTTACATATATAGTATCAGGAGCAGTACTAGAGTACAGGAGCAGTATACTGTACATATATATAGTACAGGAGCAGTAGGGATCGTTAATTACTCTAGGTTCTAGGGTTATTTTCAGTTAATTTAGGTTAAAATTACGCTACATAAAAAGTTTCATGGTTCAATCACCATTAGAAATATTATTAAAAAATGTTTTAAAACTAACGACTACAGTTTGATTACAACGACGGTGGCGCCACTCAAAGCGCACGATCTGATAAGTTGCGCAAAACCACTTTCCAGCCAAGGGCTACGGGAGTGTCTATATTCAGGCCGGTACGGGAGATTACGGTACGCATATATTTGCTAATATATTGACTAATCGTGCGT